ATTAACATATTAAAAATCAAAATCAATAATAATTTGAAAACAATTAATTTTAAAAATTATATAATATCACACTGCACCGCCTGGCTGGTGCTCACCCGTGTCTCTCACGATATCAGCCGTCCTGCTATTTATATGACAATCGGTTGTCATTGGTTGTCTCCCCGCCCTTGATACTGAAATAAGGCCGCCGCCGAATATGGATTACTGATATTGCGTTCTGTTCCGTTTACGACGTACACCTTATTGGTTGGCGATTTAAGTTTCCTTCTCTTCTGGTATTATTTTGCAGTTATTATTCACGTAATTACGGTTGCTCGGAATAAAAACATATTTAACACAAATACATATATATATAGTATACTTATACTTATCTGTATAAGGGTAATTCTAATTAAGTGGCGGAGTGTAACAAGTGTATTTAGTTTTTTTTTCGTCCTATTGGACCACGCTATAAATTTAAATAAGTGCCGTGGTTGTCGTTTCCGTCCTATCAGGATTACGTTATAACTAACTGTACTAAGTGCAGTTAGTTTGTTTTCGTCCTACGGGATTACGTTTCAAATACTCTATGGGTTGTATCTTAATATACACTACACTTTAATGATACTATAAATAAAAAACCCAGCACAGGAGGGTTGCGGCACAATGGTGACGTGGCATAGTTGGATCAAGTATAATGATATCTGACAGTGATTAAAATCACTATCAAAAATAAACGCTTTGATGCAAATCTTTAGATAGTGTTTAATTTAAAAAAAATTGGTGTTTTATTCCAAAAGCTACTTGATCTGCTGGTTCCTTATTAATATCTCGATAAAGATAAAGTATATCAAATGAAAAAAGGTTTATTAAAAAATATTATTTCCCATAAAAAAATTGTGTGGATCCATAAACTTTTCAATAAGTTATAGTATTATAAAGTTAAATATTATATATATAATAAAATCGAGAATTTTCACACGAAAATAGCATTCGGTAGCCATTTTCGCCGTGAAGACAAGTCCAGAAGTCAAATTTTTTTTTTTCAAATTAAAGTATATTACATTAGCTTTAATTTAAGATATATATAAAAGTGTCAGACCTTCCGGAACATTTTCAAAAATTATGTTGAAAAAGTAAATTTTTTGTGAAAAAGTTGTCATATTAAATCCCCCCCTATGGGCAGGTTAAGTGTCAGATTTACAAAAAAATATACCAAATGATAAGTAAAGACATCAAGCATCTATAAAAAAAACTGATATGTTATATTGATAATATTGATATGTACATTTTTGAAAAAGTTACGGCAGTTTTTAGTAGAAAAAATTTCGAAAATTAGCGATTTTAAAATTTTGTAATTTTTTTGGAGGTTTTACAGGGAACGAGGGGAAATTTTTAAATGTTTGAGGGTAATGTTTCGACAAGATACGATTTGTGATCTTTTGACGTATCGTCGAAAGAAATTCGTTCTGTGAGAGCTGAGAAAAAGTGGTAACCGACACAAAAAAAAAAACATCATAGTAAAACTAATACCTTCTCAGCTTCGTATCAAAGATAATAAACTCACACATATACACATATGCATTTATAACATTGTGTCTAATGTAAGTATAACATGATAAAAAATAACCTTAAAATGGAAAAAATGAAAAATAAATTTTAGTATTGATATCAAATGTAATGTTACTCGAAAAATATTTGTTGTAATAAAAAAATAGAAGATACTATATTTTGTTTAAACAACTTTTGTGCGAAACTTTTTTTTGTAAGTTAAAAATTTTTTGAGGAAATTTGAAAAAGCTTATATTTTTGAACTTTTGCAAGGCTGTAAAAAAAAAATTTCAATTCCAATCAATGAGGATTTTTTGTATGTCATTATACATATCTTATTTCAACTTTTAAAAAACAAAAAATTTGGTTGGGAATTTTTTCCGCCATTCGCCAAAATTACTCCTTTGTTGACTAGTCTAGTACACTTAATGTTCAATTCGATATTCATTGTCTTAATTTAAACCCGATATTGTACCGTCATTAATATTTTTAATGAAACTTCATGATTTAAATATTAGCTGAATATGCCAAAATCATCTAAATGATTTTAGTATTTATAGACTTAAAAAAGTTATAAGTTAAAAATAATAATAATAAATTTTAAAGTTTTTAAATAACTATTCCCAATTGTAAACAGAATTATAATTAAAATTTATTGTTATAAATCTTTAATGATATTATTTTTATCTGTTAAATTATTGATTTAAATAAGTATGATATTCAATTTAATGTGTTTTGTTTATTCAAAATAATGTGATTTTTTAAAGTTTGATTCAATTTACTATAGTTAAAGTGATTTTTTTACATTAATGGCTATTTTATTTTATTTTAAAATGTTTTTAACTATATACGATTTGTAATTTTTTGTCCTATTATTTCTTAGTCAAATAAATGCTGAACATTTTTAAGGAGAGACAATAATAAATAATAGTAAAATCATTATTTTTCATATATTTTTACATTAGAAGTAAACTATTGTAAAACACATATTTTAATTAAATAGACGATACTATTTATTTAATGCTTCTTAAGTAAAAACAGTATTTTGATTCTTCCAAGTATTTCAAAAATACTCCTACTCATTTTTAAAAAAGTAACCGTAAAATGAAAAACGGTAGCACAGTGGGGTCGCGGCATAGTGGAGACATTGCATAGTAGGGTCCAGTATAGATTTAATCTGACAGTGATNTCATAAAATTTATGATAATTGAACCAAAGCTAAAAAAAATTATATTGAATTTTGTAATAAAATTGAATAGTTAGCAAAAATAAGATACACATACATGTTTATAATTTACACAATTTTTTAAATTAAGGAATCTTTGACAGTTATACTAAGCTATAAATAAATTTCTATTAATTCCCGTTTTTAATACTTTTAAATAAGAATTCATTTATTAACTTTTAAATAGTATTTTTAAAATACTTTTTAAAAAAGTTTCATGAAGAACACATATTTATTCTTCTTTTGAGTATTCCTAAAATAGACTTAAATAATATTAAAAATAGAAGATTACAATTTTTAAAACCCAGCACAGGGGGGTCGCGGCACAGTTGTGACGTGGTATAGTTGGATCAAGTATAATGATATCTGACAGTGATTAAAATCACTATCAAAAATAAACGCTTCGATGCAAATCTTTAGATAGTGTTTAATTTAAAAAAAATTGGTGTTTTATTCCAAAAGCTACTTGATCTGCTGGTTCCTTATTAATATCTCGAT